GAAAAAAATAGTCTTTTATCCACATGAAAAGAATAAAGCTGGCTACTTCACACAGTACATGAAAATTAACTTAAAATGGATCACAGACTGAAATGTAAGAAGTAGAACTATAAAAATTATAAAACTCTTAAAAGAAAATATAGTCATAAATATTCACAACCTTCTTATACATGACACCAAAGCACAAGCACCACCAATGACAAAACAATAGGTAAACTGGACTTCATCAAAACTAAAAACTTTTGTACTGTAAACGAGATCAAGAAAGTGAAGAACAGGTCAGGCATGATGGCTCATGCCTGTAATCCCAGCACTTTGGCAGGCCGAGGTGGATGGATCACGTGAGGTCAGGAGTTTAAAACCAGCCTGGCTAACGTGGTGAAACCCCATCTCTACTAAAAATACAAAAATTAGCTGGGCATGGCAGCGGGTTCCTTTAGTCCCAGCTACTCTGGAGGCTGAGGCAGAAGAATCACTTGAACCCGGGAGGCAGAGGTTGCAATGAGTTAGGATTGTGCCACTGTACTCCAGCCTGGGTGACAGAGCAATACTCCATCTCAAAAATCAATCAATCAATCTGGGCACAATGGCTCACTCTAGCCTGGGTGACAGAGCGAGACTTCATCTCAAAAAAAAAAGTTCTCCAAAGAGATACACAAATGAGCAATAAGCACACATAAAAGTGCTCCATATCAGCTATCAGAGAAATGCAAATCAAAACCACAATGAGGTACTACTTCACCCACTAGTATGGCCATAATCAAAAAGACAGTGTGTTGGTAGGAATATGGAGAAATTAAAACCTTCATATATTGATGGTAAGAATGAAAGTGGTACAGTCATCTTGTAAAAGACTTTGTCAATTCATTAAGAGGCTAAACATAGAATTACCATATGATCCAGCAATTCTACTCCTCAGAATATACCCAAGAGAAATAAAAATATGGCCAAGTATGGTGGCTCACATCTGTAATCTCAACACTTAGGGAGGCTGAAGAGAGGATGGCTTGAGCTCAGAAGTTAGAGATCCAGCCTGGGCAACATAGGCAGACCCCCATCTCTATAAAAAATTTAAAAATTAGCCAGGTATGATGGCACACGCCTGTGGTCCTAGCTGCTTAGAGACAGAGGGAGGAGGATCACTTGAGCCCAGGAGGTAGAGGCTGCAGTGAGCCATGATGGTGTCACCACACCCTAGCCTAGGCAACAGGGTAAGACCTTATCTCAAAAAAAAAAGACAAATGAAAACATATATCCACACAAAAATTCTTACACAAACATTCATAAGAATTATTCATAATAGAAAGTGGAAACAACCCAAATGACCATTAACTAATGAAGGGATAAATAAAATGTGGTATATTAAAACAACAGATTATTCAGTGTGGCAGCAGAATAATGGCTCCCAAAGATATCCACACCCTAATCCCCAGAATCTGTGAATGTATTGTTATGTAGTAAAAAGGACTTTGCAGATGTGATTAAGGACCAGGACCTTGAAATGGAGAGATGATACTGGATTACCCAGGTGGACCTAATCTAATCAAACAAGTCCTAGCCACAGAGAACCAAAGAGAAGGAAACAGGAGAACTCAAACATGCATCCCTGACTGGGAAGATGGAAGAAGGAGGCCATGAGCCAAGGAATGTGGTGACCTGCAGAAGCTAGAAAAGGCCAAGGAACAGATTTCCCCCTAAAATCTCCAGAAATGAATGTAGCCTTGCCAACACCTTGATTTTAGTTAGATCTGTGTTGGACTTTTGACCTACAGAACTGTAAGATAATTCATTTGTGTTATTTTAAGCAATTAGATTTGTGGCAATTTGTTTCAGCAGCAAGAGAAAACTGTTATTTCGGCAATAAGAAATAAATTACTGATAAAACGTTTTAGTGTCATGAAAATGTTCCAAAATTGATTGTGGAGACGGCTGCATAATTCTGTGAATATACTAAAAATAATTCTGTGAATATACTTACCACTGAGTTGTAGTAAGTAGACTGTATAGTATTTAAATTATATCTGTATTAGTCTATTTGCATTGCTATAAAGGAATACCGGAGACTGAGTAATTTAAAAGGAAAAGAGGTTTATTTTGGCTTACAGTTTTGCAGGCTGTACAGGAAGCATGGTGCCAGCTTCTGCTTCTGATGAAGGCCTCCAGAAGCTTATAATCAGGGCAGAAGGTGAAGGGGTAACCTGTGTTTCAATGGCAAGAGAGAGAGCAAGAGAGTGGGGAAGTGCCACATTCTTTTTAAACAACCAGATCTCACATGGACTCAGTGAGAATTCACTCATTACCATGAAGACAGCACAAAGCCATTCATGAAGGATCCCCCCTACATGACCCAAACATCTCCCATTAGGCCCACCTCAAACACTGGAGGTCACATTTCAACATGAGGTTCTGAAGGGACAAATATCCAAACTCTATCAACACCTAAATGAAGCTGTATTTTAAAAAAGAAAGGAAGAAACCTTATTAAGAAAACAAAAGCCTATGTTTTCTCCTTACAGTGTGCCAGAATTTTTACATTGGTAAGTGCTAACAATCTACTTGGGAAAGAAGCACAGGATAAAACAAACACATAAGACAAAAAAAAAGCAGAGTCAAAGATTAGCAGGTTTTTTCAACGATAAAAGACAACCATTAAAAACCAGGCAAAGGGCTTCAAAAGACATTTTTCCAAAGATAGACAAATGGCCAATAAGCACATGAAAAGATGCTTAGCCTCACTAGTCATTAAGGAAATACAAATCAGAACCACAATGAAACTGCTGTTTTACTTCACACCCATTGAGATGGCAATAACAAGAATTTTTTTTAATGGAAAAATAACAAGCGTTCCTGAGGATGAAGATACTACAACCATCACACATTCCTGGTGAAGATGTAAAATAGTACAGCTATGAAAAAATAGTTTGATAGTTCCTCAGAAAGCTAATCACAGAATTACCATACCTAACAATTCCATTTCTAGTTATAACCCAAAAGAACTAAAACAGGAACACAAATAGAAACTTGGATGCCAGTGTTCACGGCAGCATTATTCACAATAGCCAAAAGGTGGAAATTGCCGAAGTGTGCATCAAACAGATGAATGGATGGATAAACAAAATGTGGTAAAACCATATAAGATTACTCAACCATAAAAAAAATTTAAGCTGTGATAGATGCTACAACATGGATGAACCTTGAAAACATTATGTTAAGTGAAATAAGCCAGACACAAAAGGACAAATAGTATAGGATTCCACTACCATGAGGTATCTAGGGTAGTCAGACTTATACAGACAGAAAGTAGAATAGTGGTTACCAGGGTACAGAGTTTCTGTTTGAGGTAATGAAAAAGTTTTGGAAATGGATTGTGGTGATGGTAACACAACAGTGTGAACATGATTAATGCCACTTAATTGTACACTTAAAAATGCTGAGATGGCAAATTTTATGTTATATATTTTACCACAATAAAAAAAGAAGAGAGAAAAAATTAACAGACTTTAATCCCTATAGCATAAAAGAATCAGGGAATTGCAGAGTAGTAGAAAGTATGAATTCTCCATTTTATGTGCCTTCTTTATATACCTTTACATACCTTTCATATGTATTAAGACCTTTGATCTTAGACCTAAGCCCAAAACAATCCTTTTCTTAATAGTAAACAAGACATATTAAGACTGCCTTCAGTATCCACTTTTTTGTTTGTTTGTTTCTTTGTTTGGAACAGAGTCTTGCTCTGCCACCCAGGCTGGAGTGCAGTGGCTTGATCTCAGCTCACTGCAACCTCCAACTCTCGGGTTCCAGCAATTCTCCTGCCTTAGCCTCCAGAGCAGTCTGGACTACAGGCGCACACCACCATGCCCAGCTAATCTTTGTATTTTTAGTAAAGAGGGGGTTTCACCATGTTGACCAGACTGGTCTCAAACTCCTGACCTCAGGTGATCCGCCCATCTTGGCCTCCAAAAGTGCTGGGATTACAGGCGTGAGCCACTGCACCCGAACAGTATTCACTTTTTTTTTTTTTTTTTGATGATGGAGTCTTTCCCTGTCGCCCAGGCTGGAATGCAATGGGGTGATCTCAGCTCACTACAACCTCTACTTCCAGGATTCAAATGATTCTCCTACCTTGGCCTCCCAGGTAGCTGGGACTACAGGCACCCGCCACCACACCTAGCTAATTTTTGTATTTTTAGTAAAGACAGGGTTTCACCATGTTGGCCAGGCTGGTCTCGAACTCCTGACCTTGTGATCCACCTGCCTCAGTTTCCCAAAGTGCTGGAATTACAGGCATGCACCACTGCGCTCAGCCAGTATTCACTTTTTATAGATAAAAATGAGAAGAAACGTTAGGAATAGTGATACAAATCATTATGTATTTTTTCTCTTTAAATCACCTTATTTAAATAAGTTGTCACTTATTTATGTGGTAACTTTAAAAACAACACTGATTAGACTCTCCACCCATTCTCTCAAAGAGATATTTAGTTACCATTACCAAAAGTTTATTTTATAGACCCAAGTTCATGTTATTCCATTGATTGATTGACTGAGACAGGGTCTTGCTCTGTTGCCCAGGCTGGAGTGCAGTGGCATAATCACAGGTCACTGCTGCCTTGACTTCTGAGGCTCAAGTGATTCTCCCACTTCAGCCTCCCAAGTAGCTGATACTACAGGCACACACCACCACACCTTGCTAAATTTTTTTTTGTGTGTGGAGACGGGCTCTCACTATGTTACTTAGGCATGTCTTGAACTCCTTAGCTCCAGTGTTCCTCCCACCTCTGCCCCACAAGGTGCTAGGATTACAGGCATGAGCCACTGTACCCAGCCTGCTATTCCTTTAAAAAAACATATGTAATTTTCATTTCCAAGATTTCTCAGAGACGTTTTCAGAGATACTGTATCAGTAGAGAAAACATCTCTTTAATTCTTTAAATGGCATTTTTGGAGCACACGTGCTTCCCTATATTATCTACATTTTGAGTCCTTTCTTGTCTTACCTCAAATAATTTTATATCTGGATTCAGTTTTGTAATCTCTTCATTCAGACCTGGATTACTTCTTCCTGGAGGTATAAATTTTGGTTTTTTGAAGGAATTCCCCTGCAATTGACTTGGTGCTGCAGATCGTCTCATATTCCGTAGTGGTGACCTGAAAAATAACCACAACAGTAGCCATCCATGAATCTAATTACAATCATCCCCAAATACAAAAATAGTTCAAAACTACAACTGAGATGGAACAAGAACCCCTCTTAGGGGGCCTGCCTGGCCCCCCCAAACATAGAAACCCCTCTTAGGGCCTGCCTGGCCCCCCAAACATAGAAACAAAGGAAAATCTTCAGTTCCTTCAAAGGAAATTCCAGGCACCTGGCTAGCCCTGAGAAGTATATGAGCATTATGATTAACAAGAAGGTAACAGCTTAAAATAATGATGAGGGAAGCGAGTGACAAAATGTTTGGTCCCCTATAGAAACTAAAGGTAACATCTTAACATATGTCCTTGAGTTGTTTTTCAGAAATCCAGACCCCACCAAATGAAAATACTATCTACTGGCACACAGACCTCAGATTAGGGGAAACAGGACCGAAGTCTGCTATTCTTTGTTCTAAATTTCTTCTTCAGGGCTTGGAAGAAGTCATACGCATAGGCCAGAGCTCAACATTCCTTCCTGTCGACCCAAGTTTTTAGACAAAACTTCACTTCCTTAACCAATCCCAAATCAGAGAATCTTTGAATCCATCTGACTCATAAGCCCCCACTTCAAGATGTTTTGCCTTTTTAGGCCAAATCAATGATGCATTGATTCATGACTCTGCCTGTAACCTCTGCCTCCCTATCTTTAAAAATGCTTACAGGTAAGCCATCAGAGTTTGGTTCTTAAGCTTTAGCTGCTCAATTCTCTTCGCTTGGCACCCTGCAATAAATGTCCCACTTTCTCTTGCTGCAAATCCCAATGTCTGTGGACAGCTTTGCAATGCCAGGCAGGCATACTCAAGTTTGGTTTGGTAATACAACCATTGTAAAAAGGTAAAAGAGGTCAGGCATGGTGGCTCATGCCTGTAATCCCAGTACTTTGGGAGGCTGAGGCAGGAGCTTCCCTTGAACCCAGGAGTTCGAGATCAGCCTAGGCAATATAGGGAGACCCCGTATCTATTAAAAAGATAAGAGGAGCTTGGTAGTGCAGGCCTGTAGTCTGAGCTACTCAGGAGGCTGAGGTGAGGGGATCCCTTGGGGTCGGGAGTTCAAAACCAGCCTGGGCAACACAGCAGCAAGACCTCGGAAAACAAGTTCAATTGCTAGTAAGATTTTACTTTTTATCAAGGGCTATTGAAAAGAATAAGATTTAAATTGAATGGTGATATGGTTTGGCTGTGTCACTATCCAAATCTCACACCTTGAATTGTAATAGTCCCTATGTGTCAAGGGCAAAGCCAGGTGGAGATAATTGAATCATGGGGGCAGTTTCCTTCGTATTTTTCTGACGGTAGTGAATAAGTCTCACAAGATGGTTTTATAAACGGGCGTTCCCCTGCACAAGCACTCTTGCCTGCCGCCATGTAAGACGTCCCTTTGCTCTTCCTTTATCTGGTTGTGAGGTCTCCTCAGCCGTGTGGAACTGTGAGTCCATTAATCTCTTTCTTTTACAAATTACTCAGTCTCGAGGATGTTTTTATTATTTTCTTTTTTGCTATGAGAATGCTTTATTAGGCAAACCGCATACTATAAAAATGCTTTAAAATGTAACAAGAGGAGATGTGAAGACACAAAGAACAAATGCGTAGTGACACATGGCAAGTATGTCTTTATTAGCAGTGAGAAGATACTAATACAAATGGTGTAAATGTAAGTATATACAATGTCAATTTTGATAACATTATAGATTAATCATGATATCCTCTTTAAAGTAATTTAAAGAGAAATTTCAGGCCGGGCAAGGTGGCTCACACCTGTAATCCCAGCACTTTGGGAGGCTGAGACAGGTGAATCCTGAGGTCAAGAGATGGAGATCATCTTGGCCAACATGCTGAAACTCTGCCTCTACTAAAAATACAAAAATTAGCTGGGCATGGTGGCACAGGCCTGCAGTCCCAGCTACTCAGGGGGTTGAGGCAGAAGAATCGCTTGAACCCAGGAAGCAGAGGTTGCAGTGAGCCGAGATTGCGCCACTGCAATCTAGCCTGGCGACAGAGCAAGACTACATCTCAAAAAAACAAACAAACAAATAAATAAATAAATATTTCAAAATGTAAGGAAATACAATTTACACAAAAATATCAAAAATGTTGCTTTTCTATTCCTCATGCCTGTAATCCATAAACCACATGAGGGTAGCAATCTCATGCTTGTTTTATCCACCACTAATGACTACAATGTGTCTGGCAACAATGACAGACACATTACAATCACTAACAAATATTTGAAATGAATGAAATCTGGCAATTTAAAAGACATTTTTATAATTCAATTTGTTTTTACTATCCTATTTCATTTGAAAACAGTGGAATTTTTAAAAATATAAATCAAGAGACTAGAACCAGGTTTCCCAACTTTCGCTCAACCCTATTTCCGCTAGGAACTGGATAGGGGTACAGATGGAAAACAAGAACATTACATACATACATCACGCTTCTGCAATGAATAGTAGCAAGCACTCCAATTCAAAACACCACCACAAAACACTATTTAATATAAGCCATCAGCAAGGATCAACATGGCACTATTTAACATAAGCCATCAGCAAGGATGAACATGACACTATTTAACATAAGCTATCAGCAACGATCAACATGACTACCAACATTATCCGTTTAACCCAAAAATTCCAATTCTGGCAATTTAACCTAAGGTCAAAGATAATACTCAAGTAACTATGTATGAAAATACCATACTGGGCAAGATGAGGTGGCTCACGCATGCAATCCCAGTACTTTAGAAGGCCAAGGCAGGTGGATCACCTGAGGTCAGGAGTTTGAGACCAGCCTGGCCAACATGGTGAAACCTCATCTCTACCTAAAATATAAAAATCTAAGGCCTTGAGCGGTGGCTCATGCCTGTAATCCCAGCACTATGGAAGGCCGAGGCGGGCGGATCAACTGAGGTCGGGAGTTTGAGACCAGCCTGATCAACACAGAGAAACCCCATCTCTTCTAAAAATAAAAAATTAGCTGGGTGTGGTGGCACATGCCTGTGATCCCAGCTACTCGGGAGGCTAAGGAAGGATAATCGCTTGAACCCAGGAGGTAGAGTTGTGGTGAGCTGAGATCGCGCCATCCTGCACTATACCCTGGGTAACAAGAGCGAAACTCTGTCTAAAAAAAAAAAAAAAAAAAGCCAGGTGTGGCAGTACACACCTGTAATTGCAGCTACTTGGGAGGCTGAAGCATGAGAATCACTTGAACCCAGGAGGCAGAGGTTGCAGTGAGCAGAGATTGTGCTATCACATTCCAGCCTGGGCAACAGAGCGAGACTGTCTCAGAAAAATAAATAAATAAAAATAATCATGCTAGTATTACTTACAGTGGGGGGGAGAAAAGGAAACAAGTATGTCCATAATGAAGTACTAGATAAATTTTGGTACAGCCACACAACTGAACACATTCTCTTCATATACCACCAAAACTGAGTCAGTACTGTTCCCCATGCTAGCCAGGTTCTGTTTTTCTCTAGGCTTTGAATAAACTTTCCCTTATACTAAGTTGGGAATGCTTTTTCCCACTTTTCTTTGCCTGATTAATACTACAATCCTTTAGGGGTCTTAACCATGAGCCCTCTTCATCTCTTTCCAAAGACTGGACTGGAGGACCTTCCTGTATATGTACTACTTAAGTACTTTTCACACTGCAATGAAATTTGCCCTATCATTCTCCCTGAGTTATTAACTCAGGCATGAAATCTCATGTACAATTCATCACTATATTGCCAGTACCAAATACACAGAAGGAGTTCAGTATTTGTTACGTGAATGATCCCATTAATAGGGAGGACCACAATTTTTAAAAATGTTTAATGACATAAGAAATATTTTTGATAAAGGAAAAATGGCCACAAAACATGTTTGGCCTCATTCCAACTTTTAAAAAGGAAAAGAAAAAGGATAACGTGTTTATGTACATTTAAAAGACTAGAATGCAAAGGAGCATGAGGAAACTTGTTTGAGGTGATAGAATAATCTATATAAGATTGCAGTGTGGATAAGGGAGTGTATATACAGCTGTATATCAAAACATCAAAATGTACATATCTAGTAGCACACTGTAAATTACACTGCTATAAAGTAGATATGTTATATATTAAAATACACAATCATTTTTAAAATCCAGAAAAATACATGCCACAACATTAACCCTAATTATTTCTAAGTCTGGTTAGAATAACCAGTAATTTTTAATGTCTTCTGAGTTATTTTCTGTATATCTCAAATTTTTTACAATGAAAATGTTACCTTTGTAACAGGGAAAGTGTCATTAATTCGATCTTTTTAATTACCATATTTCATCAGATCTAAAATGCCATCAACTGTAGGATATACTCTTGATTGTCAGTCCATATAAAAGACATTTTTTAAATAAAAATGTTAAAAATGAATTTTTTATTGTAAGATGTACCATTATTTTACCTATCCAAGAAAAAAGGTGTAGCCAATTAAATCATGATACACTATCACTGATGGTTAGACATTTCCCAATTTCATCAATGTTAAAATGATGAAACATGTAAATATTTTATACATAACCAGCCTTTGCGTAGTTTGAGAAATGAGTAGTAGAGATCACTCTCTCTTGTTTCTTGTTCAAGGACAAGAACCAGCAACAGACTCTGCTGTTTCTGCTTTTCGACCTCCAACTACATTAGGTAGCCATTATTTCACGTCATGCCTTAAGTTGCTCCTTTGACTTTGAGACTCAGGCTATACAGGTGGTTCCCAATTTAGGATGGTTTCACTTAGAATTCTTCGACTTTTAAGAAAGCCATAAGCATTCAGTAAAAGCTGCACAAGGAACCACACAACCGTCTGTGTTCATGATTTTGCCCAACTGTAGATTCAGGTAAGTGTTCTGAGCATGTTTAAGCTAGGCTAGCGCAGCCATAAAAAGGAATGTGGGTGCAGCTAGAAGCTATTATCCTAAGCGAATTAAAGGAGGAAGAGAAAATCAAATATTGCATGTTCTCACTTATAAATGAGAGCTAAATTCATGAACATAAAAGATGGCAACAAGAGACAGTGGAGACAACCAGAGAGGGGAGGAAATGAGGAGAAAGGGTTCAAAAACTATCGGGTATTACGCTCAGTACCTGGGTGACAGGATCAATCGTACCCAAACCTCAGTATCAGGTAATACACCGATGCAACAAACCTGCACATGTACCCCCAAATCTAAAATAAAAAGTTGAAATTATTTTTTTTTTATAACAAAGGTAGGCTAGCAGTTTTAAATACATTTTCGACTTAGGATATTTTCAACTTAGGATGGGTTTATCGGGAGGTCACCCTGTAGTAATTCGAGAAGCATCTGTACCTACCTAGAAAATCTTTCATAAGGTAATTGATTAAAAGGTTTTAATAAAATAAAAGAAAAACCTGACCAGTGAAGAAATAAAAAGTCCCTAAAGAAGGCGTACGGACAATCTCCAGGGCGCTCGCGGAGCATTCACCCCCTGGCCCTGGGAAGGAGCTTCCCAGTGCAGCAGTGAGAGAGAAACCAAAACGCCACAGGAGCCCCAAACGCCACAGGAGCCTGAGCGAAACGACTGCAGGGGCAACCCCAGGGGCCTCTACCCAGAACCACCCCTCGCACACAAAGGCACACCCCCAAACTCCCACAGTCCGCCAGTCGCTCCGGGACTCCCCGGGACCAGCAGCCCGGGCGTCCCTCGCACCAGACCAAAGCGGCAGGCCTGCAGGCCACCTCGGTCGCTCCTGCCGCCTTCCCTACCTCCTCCCTTAGAGGCCTGCTCCCGCACCACTCGCTGCTTTGTCCCGCACGAGCCTACAGGCCGTCACAGCCTCCCAAGCTTCCCTGTCCAGAACGCACCGGCGAAAATCTGACAGAAACCACTGACCCTGCAAAACATAAACTTCTGGCAACCAGCGAACCCCTCGCCGCCGGAGAAGCTCAAGGCTCCCGCCTCGGCGCAGCCAATCGCGGACGAGCCCACTGCGCGTGCGCACTACTAGCAGCTGCGTCGCCGCGTCCAGCCTTACTCCGATTGGACAACCTTACTGCAACACTGCGCATGTACCTTTGCGTTTCCCTTTGCTTGCTCCCAAGTTTGATTTTAGTCTACGGTTCAGTTAAAAAATACTGGTTTAGTGCCTATTGTCAGACACGGTGTACAGGCTGAGGCTACAGACCTCACCATCTGCGTGGACAAGTAATAAATAAGGTATGATTCGGTGTGTGCGATAATAGAAATGCGTGCATCGCAGAGGTACAGGTTATCCTACTGGTTATTCATGTATCCGAAAAAGCATTGATTTACTGTTGCCTGCAGGATATTTTTCAAACTCTTTGTTAGGTTCTGGAAATATAGAAATGAATACGTGATTACTAGGCCCTCAGAAAAGGGGAGCAGCCTCCGGATTTAGAAAAGCATTAAAGTTACGTAGGAAAGTGACATCATTCAATTAGTATTTACTGAGCAACTTCAAGTGCTAGGAGATGACACAGTCAACTTCCAAGTGCGAGGAGATGACACAGTCAAAATGGTGTTAGAAAGACTAATCTGAGAGAGAATGGTTAAAGGTTGTTTATTGAGTTTTATCCAACAGTTTGACAAGTAAAAGCTAAAAAATATCAAGTGTTAAATGAAGATGTGAAACAATGGAAACTTGGGCTGCTGGTAGGAGTATAAATAGGTATAGCCATTTAAAAGTGTAATTTAAGGCTGGGCGCGGTGGCTCACGCCTGTAATCCCATTACTTTGGGAGGCTAAGTGGGCGGATCACTTGAGGTTAGGAGTTCGAGACCATCTTGGCCAACATGGTGAAACCCTTTCTCTACTAAAAATATAAAAATTAGCTGGGTGTGGTGGCGGGCGACTGTAATCCCAGCCACTCAGGAGGCTAAAGCGGGAGAATAGCTCGAACCCGGGAGATAGAGGTTGCAGTGAGCCAAGATGGCGCCACTGCACTTCAGCCTGTGTGGCAGAGCGAGACCCTGTCTCAATTAAAAAAAAAAAAAAAAACAGTAATGTGCTTATGGAGCTTTTATCCTGTAGACTTTTTCCAGTAATAAAGAGCACCTCATACGTTGAGTTGTGTTTTTAGCAGCTCCTGGAGCCAGGGTTACAAGAATTTGAATTGGGGGCCTGCCAAGGTTGGGCACCCTAGTAAACTGCACCTCCCTCTTCTTTGAACTGGGACAGATAAAGAGTAAGGGTAACCAGAAAAAATGCTAGCTCTCATAGTGTCTACAGCCTACCTTAATGTAATCGGGGAAGTTCAGAAAATCTAAAACAGAGTGGCTACAGGTGGCCTGGGACATGCCTCTTGCAGATTTGCACCTGGTTTGCTCCTTCACCTCAGATCATTACATGTTAACTTATCAAAGGGCCTTATGTGACAGTCCATTACTTTTTTTTTTTTTTGAGACAGAGTCTCGCTGTTGTCGGCCTGGGCTGGAGCTCAGTGGTGCAATCTCAGCTCACTGCAACCTCTGCCTCCCAGGTTCCAGCAGTTCTACTGCCTTAGCTTCCCGAGTAGCTGGGATTAGGCAGGCATGAGCCACCACGCCCGGCTGCTCTTGTCTCATTCTCTATCTCCCTTACCCTGCTTTATAGATTTTCATCACACTTCCACTCCCTAACATATACTTATTTTTTTAGTGTTTTTCTATTACTCTAGAATATAAGCTATATGAGGGCAGGATCTTTGCTTTATTCTCTGCTGTACCCATGTGTTTAGAACAGTACTAGTCTAACAGACTGCACTCAATAAATATTTGTTGATGCTTATTTGGGAGGCCAAAGCAGGAGGATCAATTGAGGCCAGGAATTTGAGACAAGACCAACCTGGGCAACAGAGTGAGACACTGTCTCTTAAAAAAAGAAGAAGAAGAAGAAGTAGTTCGGGCGAGGTGGCTCAGGCCTGTAATCTCAGCACTTTGGGAGCCCAAGGTGGGCAGATCATGAGGTCAGGAGTTTGAGACCAGCCTGGCCAACATGGTGAAACTCTGTCTCTACTAAAAATACAAAAAATTAGCCTGGCATCGTGGCAGGTGCCTGTAATCCCAGATACTCGGGAGGCTGAGGCAGAAGAATCACTTGAACCCAGGAGGTGGAGGTTTCAGTGAGCCAAGACCATGCCACTGCACTCCAACCTGGGCAACAGAGCAAGACTGTCTCAAAAGAAAAAAAGAAAAGAAAAGAAAGAAAGCTGGAGAAAGTGTATACATGAACTCTCTGTTCTGTTTTTGCAAGTGTTTCTGTAAGTCAAACATTAGTTCAAATAAAAAGTTTAAAAAACAGAGACTTCTATTATTCAACAAATATTAAACATGAAGTACCTGGTAATGCAAAGGATACTATAATGTGCAGTTCAAAAGTACTTTTCTGCAGAAGTGTATAGTCTGATTTTAGATTATCTTTAAGGAAACTAATAAAATGCAATGTAGCCCTGGTGTGCTGGCTCATGCCTGTAATGCCTGCACTTTGAGAGGCTGAGTGGGGAGAACACTTGCCTGCACTTTGAGAGGCTGAGTGGGGAGAACACTTGAGTCTAGAAGTCCAAAACCAGTCTGGGCAACATGAATGAAACCCTGTCTCAAAAGAAAAAAAATCTAAGTATTTTTCCAATTATGTGGATACATATATCTTTGAAAATTAATGTACTGGTATATACCAATATATTGGTATTCATTTCATTTCCTTCTTTAATCATTAAATGCCAAGTATATCACCCCTAAATATTTTTTGTAAGGATATTATACTGTCTTGGGGTTAACAGTAACAAATATTGGAGGTAAAGGTCTCTGTAATTATAATGTTGAATTAACACATTAATTGAGTATTAGTTATTGGTAATGTTAGTTAATTGGTTAAGCAACATCAATATTACAGCTGGGGTGGGAAGAGTAGAGAAGAGAAAAATAATTTGCACACCTCCTTTTAGTCTGATTACCCTTCTTTTTCGGTTGTGATCCCACTTGTCTCCTAGCCACTACACTTAATCAATTCTGGAATGTTATTTATTTTATTTATTTATTTTTTTGAGATGGAGTCTTGCTCTGTTGCTTAGGCTGGAGTGCAATGGTGCCCTCTGGGCTCACCACAACCTCTGCCTCCCAGGTTCAAGTGATTCTCCTGCTTCAGCCTCCCAAGTAGCTGGATTACAAGTGTGCGCCACCACGCCCAGCTAATTTTTGTATTTTTGAGTAGAGACGGGGGTTTCACCTTGTTGGTCAGGCTGGTCTCGAACCCCTGACCTAGTGATCTGCCCGCCTCACCCTCCCAAAATGCTGGGATTACAGGCGTGAGCTACCATGCCCAGCTTTTGGACTGTTATTTTTTACCTTAACTCTGTAATAAATATCTATAATACATTTCTCTTTTGATTCATATTTACCTCCCCACAGTGCATTCCTTCTTCTATTTATGTTTCAGAATATGAGAAAGTAACAGTCCACTAGTGATCTGTTCACATCACGAAGAAGTTAATGAATGGCAAAGGCAGGATTAGTACCTAATTTCTTAATTTTTTCATCCAAATAAGTTTCGAAGGGAAAATTTTTGAAGTTTTTTAAAGTTTCACGTGCTAGCTGGGCATGCTTGTGTGTGCCTGTAAACCCAGCTACTTGGTAGGCTAAGGCAATAGGATAGCTTGAGTTGAAGATCAGCCTGAGCAACATAGTGAGACTTCACTTCAATAAAAAATAAATTAGTAAGTTTCACATGGTTATAGAGTAATTTTGGATAATATTTATTTTATGTGACTCTGGCTTTCAGGTTAATTATTTTTGATTCCTTTTTTAACTTAAAGAGAGCAGTGATTCCAGTGGACCCTAACTTGTTCTGGAAGGGCCAGGTGAACTCTTTTGTCCTAGTAAGTAGCAATTGTACCATTCCAGAGTTATCAGAACATCTGAAAGCATCCTTCCTAGAGGAAACAACTGAAAGCAGCTGCAGATCTGAGGACCAAAGCTTTACCAAAATACACCCAAAGCCATCTCTTAGCAAACCAAGAGACGTTCAATGGGGAATACTACACAGTTTGTCAACTCAAATAATTTGTCAAGATTTATTAAGTTGAAAAAAAGTTTAAAAATTTTTATTTAACTTTTAGTCTGTTGCTTTAAAATAAAAGTCATGTAACTCAGCATTTTTTTTTTCTAAATGAATACCTCAAAACCTTATTCCATTTAAAACACAAGAATATGTGACTGGGTGCTACCGCTCATGCCTATATTCCCAGCACTTTGGGAGGCCGAGGCAGGCAGATTACCTGAGGTCATGAGTTTGAGACCAGCCTTGCTAATATGGTAAAACCTCATCTCTACTAAAAATACAAAAATTAACTGGGCATGGTGGCAGGCACCTGTAATCCCAGCTACTCAGGGGGCTGAGGCAGGAGAATTGGTTAATTTTTTAGTATATAATTTGTAAAGACAGGATCTTGTTATGTTGCCCAGGCTGGAGGAATATGCATGTCTAACAAATCCCCATCTGAGCTGCTGGTGTAGAGACTACTCTTGGAGAACTGCTCATAGAATAACTTTGCTGTAACTTCTTTATTGGTCTGCCTTCAGGCTTTTCCCTCTCTAATCCTTCCTCTCTGCATCAAAGGAGTTCTATTTTAATCTCTTTTTTTTTTCAATTTTTATTTATTTATTTTTTGATACAGGGTCTTGCTGTGTCACCCAGGCTGGAGTGGAGTGGCACAATCACAGCTCACTGCAGCCTTGACCTCCCAGGCCCAAGCAACCCTCCTACCTCAGCCTCCTGAGTAGCTGGGACTACAGATGTGTACCACCACACCTGGGTTAAAAAACATTAGAAAAGTGTTGCCAAACTAAAGTCTCCCTAAAACTACATCAACATTGGTCAGTAGTGCTATTAAACATTAGTATAATTCTACTTACATAATTTCCACTTATTTATCAAGCAGGCACTAATTTCTTGCTTCAGAAATAACTTAGCAAGTAAGGTATATGAAGTATATTTTTGTCTAGGCAGAGGAGGATCTAATTTAAAGTAACAATGCTCTACATGTTAAAAAAGAAAATTCAAATACAAACCTTATTTAATCCCGGTAACCTATTGATGTAGGCAGAGGAGATAAACTTAGGAAAGGCCAGGCACAGTAGCGCATGCCTGTAATCCCAGCACTTTCGGAGGCCAAGGAGGGTGGATCACTTGAGGTCAGGAGTTCAAGACCAGCCTGGCCAACA